GAACTCCCGGAAGGGATTATTGCTCATTCTCTCAAGGGGGCGGTGACTTTTGTGGCCTACCATTTGTAGAGCGGCCACCTGGGAGTCAGTTCATACTTTCACTAAACACTATAGAGTGGATAAGTTAGCATCAGCAGAAGCGGCCTTTGGCCGTAGGGTGCTTCAACACACTCTGTAAACAGGGATTTCCCTCTCTTGGGGCACACTGCTCTTTTACGTCCCAAGCGTGAGGATTGTCCCACGTACTGAGCCACTGGCGAACGGAAGATTTCTTTCTCTTACCGTGAAGCTTCCTTTCTCGGTGGTTCAGGAGTGGGACAGTCCTGCCCTCCCTTCTTTTGGAGATGTTCTCTCCAGTTTACAGAATTAGTGATGAACCGTACTGCATTACTCAGGAAAAGAGGACAGTTTGCGGGTTCTTAGTTAGGTTAATCAGTTTGTTGAGTTTTCCCTATGTTTGAGGGAAAAGCTCTTCCTTCTAGTTCCTGTTTGGCGGACGAGGGGCTCGAAGACGACTGGTAAACCTACAGGGGATAAGCCCCTCCCTGCCTGGATCAAAGCCCAGAGCTGACCCTGCGAAGGAGGGTGGAGCTTATCCCAAGCGTGAGGACTGTCCCACTCCTGAATCACCAAGAAAGGAAGCTTCACTGTAAGTGAAAGAAACCTTCCGTTCGTGCCTGCTCCCCAGTCACGTGCTGGGCTCCAGTGTGCATGACTAGGGAAGGGGCACGACAATCCTGCCAGTTCTCTTCTGACTGCCGCACTGGTAGGATCTTCTCCACCTCGGTCAGTAACCTTTTCTCTGGCCTTCAGGTCTCCTCTTCCAAACGACTGTTCCTAGTTAGGGAATTTAAGTGTGTTAGGGATTTGGACTTTACTATTCGTGGTCTGCTTAGGCAGAATTTATCTGCCCCTTGGCCTGTGGCCAAACGGTGGGGCTTTTTCAAATGGTGCTGGAAGTGCGGTAGCAAAATTGCCCCCCCTGACGGACACTCCCTTTGCCTCCTGTGCCCATTGTGCCAAATTCTCCAAGCAGACGAGAAAGAATAGGGCCGCTAGACTCCGAGTCGCCTTGTTGGAGCTGGCTCTATCTCCGATGGTATCGTCGCAAGACACTTCAGGGCATGCTTCGATTTCTACGCCCGCTTTGGGGTCGACGGCTGCGCTGTCCCTGATACTGGCCCATTCCAATGCTGATCGATCGGTGCTCAAACGCTCAATCTCGGCATCTCAGTCCGAAGCCCATACTCCCACTAAGAAATGTCAGGAGGGCAAGGACGAACGGTCTGTCGACGATTTCGACGCCCACTTTGGGGTCGACGGCTGCGCTGTCCCTGATACTGGCCCATTCCAATGCTGATCGATCGGTGCTCAAACGCTCAATCCCGGCATCTCAGTCCGAAGCCCATACTCCCACTAAGAAATGTCAGGAGGGCAAGGACGAACGGTCTGTCAAGCACAAGAAGCATAAGAAAAGCTCGCCTACTAAGGCTCTGTCGACACCACACCGAGCCTCGGGAGCGATCCCTGTTGGGGCTGCTTCGCTTGACTCCTCTGGCCGTGGCCAGCCGCAAGGTGCAGCACCTTCAGCTTTGCTGTGCCCTATCCAGCTCACAGATTCTGAGCAGGACATGGACTTGACGCAAGTCTCCCGATCCTCCAGTGTCAAGAGTCTGTGCTTGGATCTAGGAGCGGGCACCTTCATGTATCCTTCCCAGCTCATTCCTGATGATCGGAATCAACCAGTGGGAACGTTCCACCCCCCTCCGCCCTCCTAGGACCAACGACAGTGGCAATGTTTGTATGGGGCTTATTCAGGCATGCCATGGTTTCCCCCTCAAGTCCCGACGGAATGGGATCGTCAGTCTTCATCTCAACTTTCTCAATATCGAGACCCTCCCCCAACACCGGAGTTCATCCAACCACAACCATCGCATCCGGTAGCCAAGAAGCACAGACCACAGCCATTGGTACAAGCGCAGTCAAAAGAGCCATTGACACCGATACCCTTGGCACCGATTTGTCAGATGTCATTTTTGGATCCCTCAGGCTCTTCCAATTCTTCACATTCCAGGGATGAGGACCTACTTCTTCCAGTGGAACCATCCCCACCACTACAAGTAGGGGACGACCTCCTGATCTCCCCCTCTGAGGATGTCAAGTCTTACGGGGACTTTGTTAAACGCATGGCAAACACACTAGCCTTGTCAACTGTTCAACCCCCACCTGCAGTTATAGACTCTGTATTTGATATTGTCCAGTTGGACACCTCTACAGTTGTCGCCCTACCCATGACCTCAGTTCTTTTGCAAATGGCTAAAGCCCCTTGGTTTCACCCAGCTTCCATCCCCATCTCCAGTAGGCAGGTGGATCATATGTATAAGGTGCAGGAAACGGGTGCTGAATTCTTGTTTATTCACCCTAAACCAAACTCTGTTGTGGTCACCTCTTCCTCAAAGGGCAAACGTAGTCATTCTACCCCCTCTGACAAAGAAGGGAGAAAATTAGATTCCTTTGGCACAAAGTTCTACTCTGCAGGAGCGTTGGGCATTAAAACCTCCAACTATGCCGCCTGTATGGGGAGATAATCAATATGCTCTCTGGAGCAATTATATGAATTCATTGCAGCTCTCCCTGAAGTCCTTAATTGCCAAGCTAGACGAATCCAAAAAGAACGCATGCTCTTAGCAAAACATCATTAATGCTGCCAAACACACTTTGGATGTATCGGCCAAAACCCTCACCTCAGCAGTCGCCCTACGGCGCCATGCTTGGTTGCGCTCCACGGCGTTGCAGCAAGACACCAAAACAGTGGTCAAAGACCTTCCCTTTGAAGGTGACGGCCTATTTAGCTCTACTACGGACACTGTCTTGCAGGGCCTTGACAAGAGCATCAAGACATCTCGTAATTTGGGAATCACTACAGCTCCTAAGCAAGGCAGAGCGAAGTCCTGGAATAAACCGTGGTCACTCAGATCCTCGTTGAAATCCTCCCCTGAGCCACAGTGGCAGAGATCCCTGAGTGGTTCCTTGCATCCCTACGGAAACAAATCCAAATTTCCATCAGCCACACAATCCAGGCCAAAGACCACAAGGACTCCCAAACAGAGTCTTTGACTTCTCCCCTCCACACTCACCTCCCACCTGCCTGTCTCCTTACCTGCCTGCCTGGCAACGAATAACATCAGATCAGTGGGTTCTTTCTGTCATCAGGGAGGGATACCTGATAGAATTTCTCCAAGTACCCGAAGTCTCCAACTTCATACTCCACTATCGACCACACTCCTCGAAGAGATCCAGAACCTTCTTCAAAAGGAGGCCATAAAACCGGTTCCCGAGTCTCATCGTCACCAAGGTTTCTACTCCCATTATTTTATGGTCCCCAAGAAGGATGGAGGCCTCCGTCCTATCATGGATCTCAGATATCTAAACCATTTACAAAAAAATCCAAATGACAACTTTACAGACCATCCTTCCTCTCCTAGAGCGGAGAGTCTGGATGGTAACTCTTGACTTACAGGATGCATATTTCCATGTATCTATCTATCCGGCCCACAGGATGTTCCTACGATTTGCAGTAGGGGACGGCCATTTTCAGTACAAGGCCCTCCCTTTTGGCTTGTCCATGGCACCCAGAGTCTTTACAAAGATGATGGTGGTCATCGCTGCCCACCTTCGCTTACAAGTTGTCCAGATTTTTCTGTACATCAACGACTGGTTATTGGTGGCAGATACCGAAACTGTGTTACTCAACCACATAGGCTTGACTCTGGACACCCTCGGATCATTGGGACTGAGAGTGAATCTCAAAAAATTGATGCTCATTCCTGCAAGGAAGGTCCAGTTTATTGGAACGATCCTGGACTCGGAGGCCTGCAGGGTGTTTCTTCCCCCCAAGAGGGTGGAAAACATCATTGCTCTCACCAGTCTCCTGCGTCGACAAGGAGATGCCTCTGCGAGGCAACTCCAGCGCTTGCTGGGGCTAATGGCTGCCACTACAGCAGTACTTCTTTTTGCCAGGTTTCCGATGAGGCCACTTCAACTGTGGTTCGTTCGCAGGTTTCATCCGCACCTACAGCCGCAATCCCAGAGGTTCATTTTCCCAACTCCAGTGCTGGACTCATTGTGATGGTGGGAGGGCCCGCAGAACCTTCTAGCGGGAGCCCCGTTTCATCCGCCTACCCCCGTGATGACACCACAGATGCGTCCCTTTGGGGTTGGGGAGCGCATCTTAAGGGAATATGCGTGGGCACTCGATGGGAGCCTCATGTGGCCCGCCACCACATCAACTTGTTGGAACTGTTAGCCATTCAGTATGCTCTCAGATCCTTCCATGACATAGTGGCCTACCAGGTGATAGCAGTCCTCACAGTACTGATCGGGATCGGCGCAGGCGCACTATATCCCAGAGGTGTGAACGCACAGATGACCACTCGAAGATCGTCAGTTACAGGTAAGCAACCTGTTTTTACACCTGTCAGTCAGTGAACACTGAACAGTGTAACTGTGTGGCACTGTTAGAATTCCAGATTCCTTGTTTTGAACTTTTAACATCTAAATACAGTAGATGTGATGGTATTGTACAGGGAACACTTAGCACTAATGCCTTGTGCTTTCTGTTCATCTCCATGTCTGTCTCCTCCAAAACAGAACGTTTGCATTTTCAGAGTCTGATACATGAGAAGTTGTATACAGTTTGGGAGTTTGCACATTTGTTGGATGGAGATAGGGATGTTGAAGAACAGGACCCATGGAGTATTTGTGGTTTCTGCTCTTTCTGCAACCACGTCATATCTAAATTGCTTTAGATGCTGGTGCAAAACAAAGACCCAGAAAACTGTTTCTGTAAACGGAATTAAGTCTGTCTGGAATAGTAATGATTTCTGGAAGTCTCTTTTTAGCTATCCATGTTATATCTGTTGTATTGTTAAATATCTCTTCAATTACGCCATTACCGTTCAGTGTAATCATTTTATAAACTTTGTATCTCTCCCATCAAGGACTCTCAAATCGTAATAGACTCCTTCAAGTCTGGTTTTGAACCTCCTGGAGACTTTCCCTTTGAAGATTACAGTCAGCACATTTACAGGACTGTTTCTGATGGGACAATCAGTACACCAAAGCAGGAAGGGATGAAAATTGATGCAAAAACCACTGTGGGCAAAGCAAAGGGCAAACTGTGGCTTTTTGGAAAGAAACCAAAGGTAAAAAAAAGATTATGCACACATTTGTACGCTGCATTCGTATTATGTGGCTAAAGGATCAAATGACATCTGTTTGAATCAAAACAATGTTTCATCCTACATCTATATATCTATTTCTCAAGTGTGGCCCCATCTGCGGATATGTAAATCTGTGGATTGGAGCCACACTTACCCAAAAAAGATCTTTCTGCAGACTTTGGGGGATCCCCTTTGTTTGCAGAAAAATCTGATTTCCTAAAAAAATACATTGGGAGGGGGGTTTAAATGATGGAGCTGGGTAGTGGTGGCAGTGATGGTGGGGAGATGGTAGCTAGGAGCTGCACCAGCTTGGCAGCAGCAATGGTAAAAAGAAGGGAATCCCCTCCCCATGAATACTGAGGGTCCCCAACTTGTATTTCTAGAATGCTCACTGTATATTGCTCATACTGGCAGAAGTGTCAGTTTAGTAACAGAAATGGTTTATGATCCACAGCCTCCACTACTCTTGGCAGTGCAGCAGCCAAGCCCCAACGAACCTCAGGTATACCTGGGCAAAAGAGTACTCCCTAGCTCTTGTAGGTTTGTGCCATGTGCTAGCCTATGATCCAAGAATGCCTGGGTTTTCTGGGTCTTGGCTACCAGGGCTTAGACCTGGAGGGCACAGGTCAGATCAGTGGAAGCAATGTTGCTTTGTGAGTTGCACTCTTGGTTTTATGAGGTTGGCACTGTATTGTGGGTGAGGTTCATTCAGTCCTTTTACACGTTGGTAGAATTCTGCTTCCATTAGAGAGATGCTCTTTCTATAATGCATAGTTATTAATTCTGTTGAAGCTGTATAAAGCGATCCGAATATTTAAAAGAAAGCCAGTGCTAAATGTCTTGGGAAGTTTGAAAGCACCATGGTATGAAGGATAAGTTGCGGATTTCTACTGCTAGTGGCTAGCATATTTTTAAAATCATTATAAATTCTTGTATAAATTTCCAGCAGAATGCCGGAATGCTTTAGATACACGAACAAACAACCTATGTATAACATTCCTTTAGTTTTCCTGGCAATCTAGTACTGGGGGGAGGGAGAATGGGGAAGGATTTCTAGCATTAAAGCAGTTTTTAAAATTTTCTTGGTTTCCTTTTTGGTTGTTTTTTTTAAAAAACAGATATATAAATCATAGCTATACAGAACGAACACCAAAGCCTGCTGTATTCTCTTTTATGTTGATCATTATTCAACTGTGAATATTTGTTATGACTTTAACAGAGTATTTCTAATTCTTTGCATTATAACCAGAGACTTTCTCTGGTAAAGATTACATTGAAATGTAAGTTTAATTATCTGTTTCTGTGTTGAAAGGAAAAGACAGAATTTTCAGATCACTTTGAATGTTTGCCTTATTTGTTCCTTTCTTTATTTCTGTATCAGCCACAGTCCCCACCCCTTACCCCTACTAGTTTATACACGTCCAGTACTTCTAATGGTTCCCAGTATCCCATATTCTCCATTGAACAAGTGCATTATTGCATGAGTGAAATAAAAACAGGGAAGCCCAGAATTTCTTCTTTCAGGAGCCTCAAAAGAGGGGTAAGTTTTGTCATGGGTCATAGGTGCATGATGGCGCTATGAACAGTGTGCTTGTGGTGTGGCTTTTTAAAAATATTCTCCACTCATTATAAGGCTCTTGGCTAGCAGTGATCTGATTAGAGGTCATTGTGCTTAGTTGTCTGCTGTGTAATAGTCATCCTCAGCTCAACAGGTTTGTTTAAAACATCTGCCTCTGAGAAGTCAGAGTTATAAAGAGGGTGCTGGGTGCACGTGTTCATAGTTTCCTGATTCACAACCATGCGTGTGTTTAACCAGTAATGTTTCTTAGGCAAGGTATATAGTGGAGAGAAGGTTACTGTAAGAAACAAGCACTTTGCTTTTCCTAACTAAGGAGTGTAGACTTTCCTCATGCTTCGGGTGTTTTAAAATTTCACTCTGACAGCCCGCTACATATTTTTTTTCTGATCTGAATAGTAAATTATTGTGGGAAAGGCATATATTCATTTTTTTTTAATCACACCATTGTCCTGCCTCTTCCCCATGATCTCATGGTTATCATCTCTCTTCCCATCCACAACCGTCTTTAGTCTTCCTAACAATCTTGTGAGATAGGTTAAGCTGAGAGATACTGACTCACCCAACAAGGTTTGACTGATTAGTAGTCTGAACCCAGGCCTTCCCGGTCTCTAGTCCAACACTAATCACTGCACCACACTGGTGGGTTAGAGAGCTGGATTGGTCTGTGGGAAACTCTGGTTCAAATCTCCACACTTCCATGGAAGTTTGCAGGGTGACCTTTGGCAAGTCACATGTTCTTATTTTAATGTGGTAAATATAGAATCATACATCTGATTCAGTATATTTATTTATTTACTTCATTTATATTCCACCTTCTCTCTCTAATGGGAACCCAGAACTGCTTACGTTGTTATCCTCTCCTCCGTTTTCAACCCTATGAGCTAGGTTAGGCTGAGTGTAAGAGACTGGCCTGAGGTCACCCAGCAGACTTCGATCACAGAGTGCACCTGGGTTCCCCAGAGCCTAGTCCAGCTCTCTGTGCACTACACTACGCTGGCTATACATGACCACGGAAACGTCTTCGGACAACGCTGGCTCTTCGGCTTTGAAACGGAGATGAGCAACGCAACCCTAGAGTCGGATTCGACTGGCTTTCGAGCAAGGGAACCTTTACCTTTACCTTACATCTGATTCAGTATATTTATTTATTTACTTCATTTATATTCCACCTTCTCTCTCTAATGGGAACCCAGAACTGCTTACGTTGTTATCCTCTCCTCCGTTTTCAACCCTATGAGCTAGGTTAGGCTGAGTGTAAGAGACTGGCCTGAGGTCACCCAGCAGACTTCTATCACAGAGTGAGAATTTGCACCTGGGTTCCCCAGAGCCTAGTCCAACTCTCTGTGCACTACACTACGCTGGCTATTGGGTACATGTACCCACGTGAGAGACATTTGCTGTGCCACTTGCTTAAATGTCTGTTCTTCTCTGACCTTAGTATTGTTGCTCATTCCATTGTGTGCAGTGTGACTTGGACACAAGCCAAAGTCAGAAGGTTATTTTGATTTCCCCTTAACTGCCCTCTGGTGGCCACTCAGTTTCAGCTTTTACCCAGCAACAGATTGCTCATGCTGTGACATTGCCCCCATTATCAGAGGGTATGCGTGTTTTTAAGGGAATGTTGTAAATTGTTTGCATCCCTATTATCGTTAGATATATATGTTAAGCCACATTCTGTGAGTTTTAATAAGCTAACAGAGTACGTATTGCACTAGCCCATACTTAAATAGCCATTTTCTGGGAAACAATTTCAGAAGAACCTTTGCCTTCCTCCATAAAATTAACAGAAAGAGTATGCAGCTCTCTAAAACAAGATTTCTTTCTTATATTATCGTTAGATATATATGTTAAGCCACATTCTGTGAGTTTTAATAAGCTAACAGAGTACGTATTGCACTAGCCCATACTTAAATAGCCATTTTCTGGGAAACAATTTCAGGAGAACCTTTGCCTTCCTCCATAAAATTAACAGAAAGAGTATGCAGCTCTCTAAAACAAGATTTCTTTCTTATACTATATTATGATTTTAACGCAGTGTACTCTTAACAGTAATGGTTAATTTATTTTAGCTTCCTGGAGGGGTTTGGGTTTTTTTGCTTTTTGGTAAACTGCATTTCATAAATTATGAATTACTACTAAATGCCACTTCCTGAGATAAATGAAGAAAGTGCACTTACTAATTTATAATGGCATATTCTGCAAATGGAATTCGTTCTAGGGACAACAGTTTTGAGTAAATGCATAGC